GAGGATTGGGGCAAAACTGAGGACGTTCCCTAAAAATGTTTATGCCGACTCTTAAGTGTCTGACGTAGGAAAACTTTCCAGCACTAACGTTGGTCATTAACTTCATGGCTGCTTGTGGGACAAAAAATATCCAGTCTTTACACTCTACAGTAAACCCTGTGCAGTGCTTTGAGTGTTTCCCAATGACCTGAAAGTGTTACACAAACACGAAGATGATTTATTTATTATTTGTTTAGCCCTCGCTGCGATGTGCAGTGTGGAAATAAAACATTTTTTTTCAGCAAAAAATAGTTTGTTTCGACCCTCCCACCCGTTTTCCTTGGAAAACAACGGAATCGTTGCTTAGGATTGCAGTCTTGGGCACAAGGGGAGTTTTCTGCGAGATCTCAGTATCGCAGACACTCTCAGACACTGCAACAAGCTGTCTGTATCTGCAAGGTTCAAGGGGATTGGAGATAATCAAGGAACTGAGAGTTTATCCTCAGCAAAACCAAGACAAAACCTCGGTCCTTCAACACGTTTCAGATATTATGGAATCACTGGAGTCACAATAATGTGCAGAGCGAATAATAATAATAATAATAATCATCCTTGCACTTGATATGGCGCCTTATCATGTCTTCGAGAAGTCTCAAAGCACTTTGCAGAATATGCAGTAAAGTCAATTGACTGTATATTTTGTGGGAGAAGGTTACCAAAGGGGGTAGAAGCGAATTCAATCACTGATAATAACCCCCCCAAAAACCAAAAACAATAATGAATTGGTCATTTTCAATCTACGACTGTTTGTGGGACATTGCTGTGCGCAATTGGCTGCCGCGTTCGCCCACAAATATACAGTCAATTCACTTTACAGTGTGTTCTGTGAAGCGCTTTGGGACGTCCTCCCGACGTGAAAAGCGCTATATCAAATGCAAGGATTATTATTATTATTTGTTTTCATCTCTTTGTCCGCTTGATCTCTCTGTTACGCCTTACAGTCTAACTGTCCTCTTTATGTGTGTGTCTGACTCTCTCTCTCTCTCTCTCGCTGGCCTCTGTGTCACTACCCCTCCCGCCTCTCTGCATGAAGAAAATAGTTGTTGCTTTTAAAGTACTGAAATTTTGCGAAACACTTGAGATGTTTTTTGATGTGGTTGAAGGCACCGGGCCAAATGGAAGCAATTTATTATAAATTCTTTTTTTTCGGAATGTGCTTATGATAATTAGGAATCTTAGTAGTCGGAGGTTAACCACTCGCTTTAATCTTCCAGCTCTTTCTCCCTGTCTGGTGAGTGTCTCTCTGTGTCCTTCTCAGTCTCTGTCTGTGTACGCGTGTGTGTGCATGTGCGTGCGTGCATCTCTGTCTCTCTTTCTGACTGCACCTGTCACTCTGCGTGTCGCTGTAATTGCTGTACGCTTCTCTGTAGGTGGCTGTCTGTGTGCATTTCTTTCTCTCTGAATGTATTTTGAGTCCAGCATTTCATGAGCTGTTGAAATCCACACACACCCCCCCCCCCCCCCCCCCCCCAGCGCTGCATTGGAGTGTCGGCCTAGACTGTGGGTTTGAAGTCCTGACGTGGGGCTTGAACCCACAGCACATGACATCCTTGCTCTGGATACATAAATCGGCATGCCGCTGACTCAAGAAAGCTTTTAATTTCCCAGTGCAAGGAATATCATTATTATTACATCCTTCTGAGCCAGAGGCCAACTGAGTCAGACTGACAATGCTGAATATGTTCAAACATTTGGGTGTGGCCCAGCAATGAAACCGTATTCCGCTTCAAATTATTTCAAGGATAACTTGCTCGTGAAATCCTTGATCCCGTCCGACCGCAATGAGCCTTAATATTCTGACGGCGGTGGGGAGAGAAAGATGGGAGCAAGATACAAGTTGTAACTTCCGAGAAGTATGCCAGCTAAACATCTCATGTTCTGAACTACAATGAGAAAGCCTTGTAAAAACAGCAATCGAGAGTGGAACAGACACACAACACTCTCTCCCTTTCTCTCTATCTCTCTCAGACGGCTCTCGATCTCTCAGGCACCTGATAAATACACACCAGGTCCACATGAAAGAATTCCCAGAACATGATCCTTATCACAGTCAGATTTCCAAGTCTCCAAAAGGAGGACATCTCTTCTCAAAAAGTACATTTTCTGAAAAGCTTCTGAAAGAATAGTACTTTTCTATCTGTTTTGCTTTGAAAGCCCTCCACTGTCTTGCTCCTTCCTACCTCCGCGACCTATTAAAAACGTTATCATCCTGTCTGCTCCCTCCGCTCTCCAGGCACTGGCCATCTTCCATGTCCTGCCCCCCCCCCACCACCCCGTGTGCTCCACCATCGGCGGTCGGGACCTTCAGCCTTTCTGCCCGCACCCTCTGGAACTCCATCCCGGAGCCCCTTCACCTCACCCACTCCTTTGCCTACTTCAAGGCCGTCTCCAGACCTTCCTCGGTGACCGTGCCTTGGTCTTGCTCCCCCTCCCCACCCTCTTCTCAGCGAGAGAAACAACGGCGCTGGCGGTTTGGCACAACAAAAGTCGCTCGCAAGCGAATACCCCAACCAAGATTTGTGTCGAAATCATGCGTTGTGTGACAACAATATTTGGCGGAATTTTTCTTTTTTTTTGCCAAGGCAGAGTCCCTTCGAGATCTGACGGACAATACAAGGTACTGTATATTTATTTCCGCAGGCGAAGTTACATTGTGCGCTTTAATGTGTGAAAAAGCCAGGAAAAATCTTGACGTCTCCCCTTGTGTGTATGTGTGTGTGTGTGTGTAACAAAGCCTTTTAAAGGGTTTGTCTGAAATCATTACAATAGCAAACACGTTGGCGCCCTCTGCTGCACAACTGGGACTCGTAGATTATTTTCTATCTTCGCTAAATTTTGCAACTCGATGACGCAAATGGGGTTGAAACGTCCATCGCAAGTGCTGATGTGGGGGGGAGGGTGGGGGGAAGTTGGGGGATATCGAGGCATTTGCAGTGGCTGTAGCTCTTGAGTTTCACACTGTAGATCTGTGCTGACCTCAAGCCGGTTCAAGTTAACCAGGTCTGAGCCAGGACACCTGTGGAGAAAATCAGACTTAATCTGAAATCCCTTCTTATTTTGCAGCGAGTTCCTGACTGAAGAACATCGTTGATGCTTCCAGCTACGCAAAACATTCCTCCGACACATCACCTAACCATCGCTGTTTGCGGAACATGGCTGTGTGCAATTGACTCCTCTTCACAATAAACCCTGTGAAGCTCCTTTGAAACGTGCTCCCGATGAAAGGCGCTCTATCAAATTCAAGAATTATCATTATTATTGTTATTAAAAACCTTGAACCCCTTTCAGTTCCATGAATTTACCTACTTTCTTTTTAAAATACTACGCAGGAATGAGACGTACAAATTAAAAAGGGGTGAAAAGGTCTATTTATTTTTAACAATATTGATTAAGCTGCGTTTGCTCTCTCACTTCTCCCGAGTCCCCGATCTTGTGAGCACGTTTTTGTTTGTCACTGGCACGGAAACCTAAAAGGCAAAAAAGGCAGTTTAACCGTGACTCTCTCTCTCGCTCTGTCTGTCTGTCTGGGTAACTCTGCTGTACGATTGCAAGGCTTTTGCCAACTGTTCCCTATGTTTCGATGGTTGGGAAGAGTCAACCCTATTCCTGGGGATTCCATCCTCATCGTCTAATATCATTGGGAGATAAAGGGTGCCAAATCATCACCAGTTTTGTAGCTGTTGAGGGCGTAACAGATAAGATGAAGTATTTATAATGTGTACAGTTTATCTGTGTCTTGTACGCATTATACCCTATGCAATTGTGTATGTCTGACTGTGTCTATTTACCTATCCATTTTGGATTTACTCGGTATCTATTCCCGAGGGTGTACTGTTACCTAAGTCAGAGGGGATGGACTCAGCTCCTAAAGTGTTTGAAATAATCGTGATTTCGGGCAATGATTTGCTGCCAAAAATTGGGTGGGAAGGGTGAGTATTTACAAAATGGGGGGGGGGGGGTGCCGACACTTCAATGTGACAACACTCTCTCTCTTCTAAACGGTGTATACTCCACCTTTCGATGAAGGTTTTCTTGCTTTGTTGCTCTTTGGGGATGTAGATGCGAGTCATTGATGGTGTGTAGATCCTCCTCTCGATCAGCTCAGGCTCCAGGCCGGTGGAAGGTATCTTGTTTTGGGGGAAACGTTCCCTCAGCAGCCGCTTCTCCATGGGGGTCGGAGCCGGCATCTTGGGGGGTGCATATGTGTCCCTGATTATGATGAACATACTGAGGAAATAACAAGGAGTCGGCGTTAGCCAGAGTCACAGAACAGGCCGTAAGGCACTCTCACACAGGTTAACACACAGGCTGGAACGTGTCACACACAGGCTAACACACAGGCCGCAGTGTGTCAACATCAACAACAGATTGCATTTATGTAGCTCCTTTCACGTCAGGAGGACGTCCCAAGGTGTCAGACAATGAGAGGTTTGCACCCAAGCCATGGGTTGGGATCAGAGAGACGTGGAGGTCAAGGAGGGGTGGAGGAGGGACGATGACTGAAGGCACCGTCGAAGAGGAAGGTCTTGAGACGGGCCTCGAAGGAGGCAAGGGAAGGAGGGTAAAGTCTCACACACTGTGTATCGCACAGGCTGGAATGTGTTGGGGCCAAAGGTGCCTGGAGCACGGCAAAACTCCTTCATCAATCAGACGTTATCCAAAGGCGGAGCCACAAAGCTGGGGCCTCAGGATTATTGACCCGCTGAGTCAGAAGCAGAACCTGTTTTACGTCAACTTGTACATAAATACTGGGTCCTTTAACATGTTTCAAAGTGTTCACCAGCTACAAAGAGCTTGAAGATCGGCTCGGCCTACGTGCTGACCTGTAGGGCTGTTCGCTTTTGAGTCTCTGAGGCTTTGAGACCATTGAGCTGCAGGGCATTGCTGGAGGTATTGTTGAAGGCATTCTTGGAGGGGTGGCTATCGCAGCTCTGTAGGAAAGCATGGACTGGGGTTCGTACATGGAGCTCAGCATCTGCCCTTTGACAAGCAAAGGTGTCCTTGGAGCCCGCATCTGAACGCTTTCTTCAGTGAACACTGAGAACACAGGGGAAGCAAATGGTCGTTAAAACTTTTCAAAGTTATTTGCTGTTCGTAAATGCACAATGTGCAATGTTCCTCCGAACACGGCTTCCTCCCTGCTTCCAGGAAAGGTGGGAGCGCGGGAGGGGAGACGGAGAGGGTAGGAGGTCGAGGAAGAGAGGAGGGATCGAAAAGGGACAGAAGGAGAAAGAACGAAAGACAGAACGAACGAAACGACAAGAGGAAAGAAGAGAGAAAACAGAAAATTAAAAGGAGAAGAGGGTTCTTTTATTGTTGGTGCTCACCCCCCATTAACCGAAACAAAGTGAAATCGCGTTCCACTAAGGAGAAGAGAAGTGTGGAAAGAGAGTAGAGATACAGAGATACACACACACACACAAAAACAGGAGTAGGCTATTCAGCCTCTCGAGCCTGTTCCGCCATTTTAGAAGATCATGGCTGATCTATACCTCAAGTCCAGTTACACACCCTTGTCCCATATCCCTCAATACCCTGACCTACCAAATATTTATCTTTACCTCCATCTTGAAAATGTGAATGGATCCAGATGTTGGAGGTTGTGGGCTGTGGCAGCATCACTTACCTTTCTGGACATGTCCTGCTATTTTCTTCATCCTCTCCATGTGTCTCAAGTTCAACAGCATTCGTCGCTCCCGGTTCTCAGTCTCTCGCTTTTCCCTCCCTACCTTCAGGCTTTCCCGCCTAGAAGCGACGCAAAGCATTTCCCCCGTCAGCATCGGGTTAGAATCTGTCCTTCACACTCACTGTAACGTGAAGCTTCAAATTCGAGGCACGAAAGGGGACCTTGTTGATGCTTTCATGGCTATTGCTGCCTCTGGACTTGGCTGCCTTATTCCTGCCAAGCTCCGAGTACAGTAAAGCTCGCATACGTCTTATCTTTATAGCAGTGACAACAGCAACTTGCATTTATATAGCGCCTTTCACGAGGGCTAGCGTCTCGGGAACGCTTCTGACGAACCAATACGCTATGGAACGCCACGTGAGGATGGCGGCACACAGCAAACTGAAAGAAAACTGGAACGGCGGGGATGGGGTGGATGGAAAGTTTAGAGGGAAAAAGTGTCAGTCTCAATCACACAACGATTACCTCTGCAGCTCAAAATCTATCCAGTCGTAGGCTTCCCCTTGTCTCTTGCTGGAGGGAAACAAAGATATCTCGTGCCTACTAATAATAAAATAATAATAATAATCCTTGCTTTTGTTACAGTGCCTTATCATGTCATTGAAACGTCTCAAATAGCTTCACAGAATATAGAGTCTTGTAAAGTGGATTGACTATGTATTTTGTGGGTGAAATGCGCAGTTAATTGCGCACAGCAGTGTCCCACAAACAGTCATGGAATTCCTGGTATATTAGTGATCTAAATGAATAGTGAATAGCCAGAACATAATTAGATAGATCCCCGTAACGGAAAGTTACACCGAGACACGAATCCAGAAAGAATCTTTGAAATTATAAAGAGATCTTGATCTCCCACACCAGACCCCGTTATTCTCCCCTGATTTGCATTTAATTATCAGCAGCTTTTTAATGTTGTGCTTGGCGTTACATCTGCCCTGTTGTCACCTCTCTCGCGTGTACCTCGGTCTATCACCAGTGGCCTGCAAAGATAAAAAAAAAAAGCATATATAAATAATGACATCAAAAGGTAGGGTCAAAACTACAAATCCATTGCTAGTTATTTTGTTTGTTGAATTTTTCTTGCTCGTTAAGCGAGGGATGTTTGTGCTGGGAAGTGCTCCCTTGGAAGATGCCTTTTTACCCGTTTAGAACAAGGTGTGCCTTTCATACGTGAGTTCAAGCTGCTGCTTTCAATGTGAAGTCACTGTCCCAGCTCAAACCCAGCCCACACTTGTTGCATATCCCTTAATACCGTGACCTAACAAATAGCTATCCATCTCAGTCCTGAAGATGTGAATGGATCCAGCCATCACAGCCTTTTGTGGGGAGAGAGTTCCAGGTTTCCGCTCCCCTTTGGGTGGAAAAACCACCTCCTAATTTCACTCCCAAATGGCATAGCTCAATTTGAATCAACAATCTGCTTGAGGTCAAAGAAACTCGGCAGAGGTTTGTCATCCCAGAGGCTCCTGGTGTGAACTTGCACCTCCTAACTCCATTACTGGACACAGTTTCAGCGTTGTCAAGGCAGGTTTGAGACAAGACACCAAAGAATATTTCTTTACACCAAGAATAATTGCCAGCCAGAAAGGGTGACTTAGGAAAGTTTCAAGCCAGGAAATTCTTTGATTCCTGCAATGGGACAGTGGTAAAAACGATGAAATCAAAACAACTGATGGGCCTTGGTTTTCCAAACCTCTCCGTATGATCTTTCGGGGGATGGGAAGGTGGGGGAAGAAATATTCTCTCTCAAAACTATCGTGTATGATTCTCTTACCAATTGATCGGGCAACATTTTGGGCAAATATTTACTTCTGCCTTTCTCTTTCTGCTTTTCTTTCACTGGCTTTTTCTCCTGGGGGTAGGTTCGCTTTATTTCAAAGAGACAGAATCATTAAGAATATATTTGCTGCTTATAGTCAAGAAAAAGAGGAATCCTTGCATTTTGTTCTAGCCATTCACTCAGGAAGCCTCCAAGAGTGTGCGTGGGGGAAGATGTTACATATTTGAACTTTAGGAGAGCATTTCATAAGGTGATGCATACGAGACTTGTAGCCAAGCTGACATGTGGGATTGATGGAAATAACAGCAAAATTGTTAGAGGAATGGTGAAAGGGAAGGTGTCAGAGAGTGGGAATTAAAGGATGGCCACACTGCGTTACACAATCAAATGCAGGACTCGGTGCTGAAAACGGATTTCATTGCTTACCTCTTCTGACGGTGTCGCACTGATTTCATCTACAAGAAACACAGATCTTACAATCAATGTCCAAAGCACTGGGCCTAACACCTTTCAAACTACAATAATAATTCTCGCATTCGATATAGCACCTTATGCTGACCAATTTATTATTATTTTAAAAGGAATTATTGCCCTCGGAAAAGCGAGCGTGTGAATAACTAGAAAACCCCACCATATATAAGTGCAGGAAGAAAGTTTGCTTGAGAGTCAAAGAATGAAGCATCAGCTACATTATACTGCTGTCACCTTGACTTACCAGCACTGGACAGATATGATACTAGCGTCAGGGCTGAACCCTCCATAAACATAACCGACTTCTTCTTCTGCAGAATAAATTAAGAGCTAGTCAGGCATTAGTAAAATCAAGTATGCTATTTAAGCTTGCTTTGTCACACATTAATTATGTTTGCAGCTTGCGTGGTCTGGCAATTGAACCACGACATGACCCACTTTTCAAAACTTTCTGCCCCTCATTTTTTTTCCACCTGATTTAATAATAATAATCCTTGGATTTTATGTAGCGCTTCATCACAACGTCTCAGAATGCTTCACAGGATACACCATAAAGTGCAGCGACTGTTTTGTGGGAGACGTGGTAACCAATTACATGCAGCAGTGTCCGGCAAACAGCCATGGAGTGAGTGACTGATTTTATCTGTGGGATTGTTGGCCAAGACACTGGGAGAAACTCCCTTCTCTTTTCGAATAGTGCCAGTCGAAGGACTTCACTTCCGACAATGCAACAACTCCCCCGCCCCCCAGCACTACATTGGAGTGTCAGCTTAGACTATGTGAGTTAAAGTCCTGACATGGGCTTGAACCCACAACCTTCTGACTTATTGACTACCAATGAGCCAGGCTGACACACCAGCGTGCAAATGCTTCTGAACAGCGTGTGGGAACCTGATCTGACTTCCCTCACGCATTTTCCTGGATTTAGTGCTTGCGAGACTTTACCTCACCAACTCTGTGTTGATTAACAGCCGGAACTTGAACTTCCTTTCCGTTCCCTATTGGCTTTTGCGAAACTATGAATACACACACAAAGAGAATCAGCACGATACCAACAACTGCAATCATGCAACTGCGACCAAAAGATCATCTATGGGGCAGCTAAAATGAGCAGTGATAAGCGTGGGCTTAGCTCTTTCACATAATACAGGGTGTCCACAAAGTCCTGTTAACTCCCCTGTTACAAAACAGCAATGTTAAAGTACAGAGGAGCTGAAACAAGCTGTCAGAGATGCATTTTGCCTCCTCACTCCATCCAACATCTTGCACCGAACATGGCAACAGATCATTAGCTGCCCTGAAAATGATGGCACACACACACACACTAAATACAATTATCATTCATTCTTCCATACGATTCAGTTGATGGTCAGTGCACTGTGCGTGTAAAAAAAACACGGGGTTAACATGACTTTGTGGACACCCTTTGCAGTGAGGATCAGAGGGGAAGGGTGAACCCATCAACTGCTCTCACACGCCTCCCGAGTGACCAGTCGGGTGGTTTAGACCAGACATAATGGGAACCAAGTGATGGGATAATAATAATAATAATCTTTGCATTTGACATAGCGCCTCCTCATCACGTCTTTGAGCGCTTCTCAAAGCACAGGATATACTGTAAAGCGAAGTGACCGTATATTTTGTGGGTGAAACACGGCAGCCAATTGCGCACAACAGCGTCCCCACAAACAGTGGTGGACTGAATGACCGATTTATTGTCGGATCCACCGCTAACTTGTGATTGTTAACTGCTTCCAATTTTTGGGTTGCTCTTGTGGGCAGATGCTGGCATCTTTGCCTTGGAAGTCCACACGACGTGAAAGGCACTTTACAAATGTAATGTGTTGTTGTTGTTTGCGTGCTACAATTTACATACAGAAGCAGCTGTTACCTGTTGTTGAGGTCAAGCTTCTTTTCTTTGACAACTGAAGAATAAAATCATATATTCCGTCAGTCAGAGACTTAAAAAAAGAGAAGCCTCAAAGAGGTCCCCATAGAGGTACACAAGATACTTTGCCTGACAAATTAAATCCGCAATGGCACTTTCAGTTAAAACAAGGCGGCCGGACAAGAGGGTACAAGCTTGGGATTGTGAAGGACAATTTCAGGAGGCATCAGGAAGTATTTTGTTACCCAAGGGAGCGTTCGACAGGTGAAAGAGATAATAATAATAATAATAATCCTTGCATTTGATGTGGCACCTTATCACATCTTCGAGACGTCTCAAAGCGCTTCACAGGATATACTCCAACGTGAATTGACTGTATATTTTGCGGCCTAAACGTGGCAGCCAATTGCGCGCAGAGGTGTCCCACTAACAGTCGTGGATTGAGCGACCAAATAGATAGGATGGAAGGGTGAGATCATTGTTCGGAGAGACGTTTCATCTAAGTCTTTCTTGTGACCTCCTGTGACTTAGCTCAATCATGTTACCGAATAACACAAGCAGAGTAGTTCATGCAGATACCTTTCTCTTCGAGGGTTTCGGCGGCTTCTCCTTCTCTGACGGAAAGATCTCAGTGTCCTTGTAAATACTGAGGAAAAAACTTTCCGGTTCCTTCTCTGTTGCGCTTTTCTAAAGGGGGGGAAAAAATTACATTTGAAGCTTCCTGAAGAAATATCTTTCAGACGGGTTAAAAAAAAACAACATAGTAAAGCAGAGAATGAGAAAAGGACATTTGTCCCCTTTCCCTTCACTTGACCCTATTGTGGACCCACCCTATCTCCTGGGGGAAAGATCCACATATATAACTCTAATTATATAAGTCTTTACATTCGGTATACAGTAGCACTTTCACATCATCAGGAAGTCCCAAAGCACTTCACAAGATACACTGGATGTAAAGTAAGGTGACCATATTTTGTAAAACCGAATCCAGGGTTACATATTTAAAAAATTAAACTCTCCACAATTCCCTATGTGCAGTTACTGGAGAATCCTGTTGGCTTAATGGCTGTGTTTCTCTGACAATAATAATATAATAATAATCCTTGCATTTGATATAGCGCCTTATCACGTCCTGAAGACAGCTCAAAGCGCTTCGCAGAATATACTGTAAAGTGAATTGACTGTATATTTTGTGGGTGAAACGCGGCAGCCAATTGCCAACAGCAGTACCACAAACAGTCGTGGATTGAAGCGACCAATTTATTATTATTATTATTTTGAAGGAATTATTACCCCGGAAAAGCGATCTGCCAATCGAGTAACAAACGGGTTCCTACTTACAGGTAGGTAAACAGAGGCACGTGGAGTAAGGAAACTTGCCCAACATTTCGCCCTGTCGGGAATCAAACTCGCTTGCGAGGTAAGTGCTCTAACCACTGAGCTACAGGACTCCATTGTTTTTGCTCAGTTCATTGCTGAACTCCCTCCAATACTGTTCCTATACAGACAACTATCCACGTTCAAAGGGGTTCAACCACCTGGAAACGCTGTTGGATGCCAAGCCTACCGGCCGACCTCTAGCTTCAAACATTGAGAAAATACCTTGGACAGACTTTGTGTTCCAGAACATTTATATTTTGCTCTTGGCTTTCCCAAACCTGTTTTCCTAAATCCTAATAGCCTCCCCTCCACCTCGAACAGCAACTGGAGGTGACACCCGCAATGATCCTAACAGAGCAATGTCGCCAATACCTTGCCTTTGCTTGACATTGGAGGTAGAATATTTGCCGAGTGTGTTTTCGTGAACTTTTCTGGTAACAAATCTATGAGAGAGTTTGACAGAGGAGCAACAATAACAACAACAACTTACATTTGTATAGCGCCATTCACGTCAGGAGAACATTTCACAGAGAGAAACTGCCAACCAGGGAAATATTACCAGTTTCCAATAAGATGTCGGGATTTGTATTTGAATTAACCAAAACCCTAAAGAATTGAGCATTCTCAGATAAAGATTTAATAACTACGCTGTTTTATTGCTGCGTGACAGACAACCCCATCCAGTGGCGATCGAGCAGTTGGGGACCCCCTGATCTAGATCAATAGACCCCCATCCCCTCCAATCTGAGTAACTGGGAAATTACATTAAAAATGCACACATTCGGAGGGTTCCAACCCCTGAAATGATCTCTCCCCGACTAACTTTCACCTTTCTTAATAATACTAATCATTGTATTTGATACAGTGCCTTATCACGTCTTCGAGACGTCTCGCAGCGCTTCGCAGAACATACCGTGAATTGACTGTGTATTTTGCGGGCGAAACGCGGCAGCCAATTGCGCACAGAAGCGTCCCCACAAATGGTCGTGGATTCAGTCAGCAACTTACGATTGAGAGATCCAGAGAGTAACTGGAGGAAATTCTTGCCCTCGTATAAAACACGCATCAACCGTAGGAAAATAAAATGTCCTCCTTAAATTTTTTTCTAAAATTCCAAAGAATACCTGTTTCGTTGCTGGCCATATGCAGCTGCTCCATAGGTTCCCTCAACAGTACTTGTGCCGGGCTCATATGTAGATCCACAGAAGATGAGGGGGATGATGAATAAGATGACGTGAGTGAGGAACTGTCTTCGGCAAGTGGCACATCATAGGGCACTTCAGTGTCCTCATCCTGGGCGGGAATCTAAATGAGAGATAAGGTGGATATTGATAAGCTCTTTCCACCAGTCGGTGAGGCCAAAACTACAGGGCATCAATATAAGATCAATAGGTAACAACAACTTACAATTATTTAGCACCCGACACGCGGCGCAGTGCCTCGGAAAGCCTTAACAATTGCAGAGCTCAACGCCGAGCCCGAGGGAAGGAGGATGTGAGTGTAAGCACGGTTGACGACAACGACAACAAAATGACATTTGTATAGCGCCTTTCACATCGGGAGGATGGCCCGAAAGTCTTCAGTCTTGATCTAAAAGAGGGGAAGGAGGAGGAGAGGCGGAGGGATTGGAGGAGAGTTCCAAAGCTTCGGAGCGCAGTGGCTGAAAGCACGGTCGCCCATGGTGGAGCGGAGGGTTCAAGGGACAAGCAGGAGGCCAGAGTAAGGAGAGAGCAGGTTAGAAAGATAGGGATGCAATTTGTAGACCAGTGAGAGGAGTTCTACAGTTTTGAGATCCTGGGAATGAATGACGTTCTTAAATAAGAAATTAACTGAAGAGAAAGGAAAATGAGTTAACGTTTCAGGTCGATAACCTTTCGTCAGATGGAGATTTCAGTTCATTTCAACACAGTGAACGCAGGGAAGTGGAAGAGAATGTAGGGCGGTGACCTGTTGGAATTTCAGAAGGAAAAGAAAGTAAAATTTAGAAGAGCAACACCACAGTAACAATGATAAATAGATGAATATTGGATAGGGAGGTCTGCAAGTAAAAGGAATCATCCATGTCTCAAGCGTGCAAAGCAGATGCTAAAGTAGCCTCACAGTGTTCAGGTCTTGCATGGAAGTCTTTATTGGGGAAAATAAGCGCTTGGCTTGAAAGAGCAAGATCATCTTTTCACGCCAGTAGCAATCTACATCTTAGATTCGGTCTTCAGAAGAACTGCCCTTGCCCTCCACCCCTCCTGATCTCAACCCTCAGCTCGGGTCCAAATCCCTGACTCTCCAATGCCTCGGGATGTACTCCTGGCGTGAAAGGCACTATATAAATGCTATATAATTTGTTGTCGTTGTTTTGAGGAGAAAGAAATTCAGCAGAAATAACATTAAATTGCTGAAATTTGTTGATGTTGTTGTGTAAGGCAGTGACTAGCAACTTTTATACAGTGAGTTTCTGTGTGTGTGTGTGTGTGTGTGTCACTCACCAGAAATTCGGTATATTCTTTAGTTATGATCTCCGTGGAAGATTCCGATTCCAATTTGATCTCTGCCGGTGGTGATGGGGTGATATTGGGAGACTCTCCGAACATTGGCACGTCCCACAAGGGCCTGGTAAATTGTCCGCCTAGTGTGCAAATTGTGTTTTTCTTCATCACTCGGCCTTGAGAGATGGCTGCAAAAGGACAGCACAGAGATAGGAATAATACACACATGTCCAGACTGAAACGCATTTGCTGCTCCATTTTTACCGGCCCATTTGCTCTGGTACCTTTTGCAGCTTACTGTGGGGCAACCCATTCCATTATAGTGCATTCTCAAGTCTTGTCGTGAAAGTACCCACTTACGTACACAGGATATATTGTAAAATTTGGTCATTCAATCCGCGACCGTTTGTGGGACACTGCTGTGCGCAATTGGCTTGCCATTTTTCGCCCACACAAAACGCACAGTTAATCCACTTTACAGTATATTTTGCGAAACGCTTTTAGATTTCTCAACAACGGCGCTTTATCAATGAAAAATGTTTTATTATTATTATTATCATTATTATTAATATTGTTTCTTGTACCAAGATTCCAAACTACTGATCTCTGGCAAGAAAATGTCCCCCTGTCTAATCGTGTCAGCTGACAGGTCTGGGAAAAAGTTTTGTTATTATCACACGCTGTGATTGAAATAAATGTCAATATTACAATAACACACAAGAGACTTTTTCTGTTTGCGTGTCGCGGCGAGAGAGAGAGAGAGGGATCTTTTTGCTGTTACTAACGTCGGGGAAATGGAACAAATTTCCTGCTTCAGGCACCCAGTGTAGCGGGAGACCCACAGTATGGAATTCCTGAAGTGGAAAGAATAGAAAACGACTGGAAGAGAAAGAGCTTCTTACCTGCGCTGAGATAATGTGGTGAATCAGAATCTTTGGTAACAATCTCTTCCTCCATCTCCAGGAGCTCATCGCAGATTGTGAAGATTTCCACCGAACAGACCCTGGACAAGTAGATCTCGGAAGGAGCTGATGTAGCCAGCTTGGGAACCTGGGGGAATAAATTGGGATTGCAATAAATTGGAGCCCTGCGGACCTGCCTGGCTCTAGGAACCCGGCTCTCGAGACCACCACGGAGGGTGAACCCGATTCCGATGTTCCATTGCAACTGCTGTTGGGAGCGAGTTCAGCTACACCAGCGGTAAGTTAAACCAGAGCCTGTCATAGCTTTTAAAAGCAAAATGAGACGAATATTTGAGAAGGAAACATCAAAGGGCAAGGAAGTATTCCCGGAATTCGGTAGGCAGGATGCATCCCTCCAGGGAGAGAGTGCTCATTCCATTCCAACGATCTACCTCGGCAATTGCCGTGTGTAGGTGGGATGCGTGGAATTTTTCAGCTTGGTTTGGATACTCTTAAGTACGGTGATGGGTTTCCGCGTGTGTCAGACGCACGGCTGACTCCCCAAAAATGTTACAACCTCAGCAAAAATCCGCTTTGCCCACTGGTCGTTTAGCTTTTTTAAAAAAAAATCTTTTTTTTTTGAAAAATGGCTTAGTTTTATTCAAACATGTTTATTTGAATAACGTGGCCTCGCCCCACCCTACCTCTGAGACCTCCTAACCCCCCTACCAATCCGCCCGTTCCCTCCGCTCAGCCGGCTCCGGCCTGCTCCACATCCCCCGAACCACCATTGGCGGGAGAGCCTTCAACCTTTCTGCCTTCAACCTCTGGAATTCCCTCCCCCAGTCACTCCGCCTCGCCCCCTCCTTAGCCTCCTTTACATCCCGCCTCAAGACCCTCCTCTTGGACCATGCCATCGGCCACCCCCCTTCCCCTCCCCTCCGTTCCCCCCTTGACCCCAGTTCGGGTCTGAAATGCTGTACACTGTCCAGCGCCTTGGGACGTCCTCCCGACGTGAAAGGCGCTATACAAATGTAATCTTGTTGTTGTTGTTGTGCTTTATATATTTTTGTTGGCCTGCAATGGAGGAGAGGACAGAAAACAAGTCAGATGACACTGGCGAAATCGCCACATTAAGCAGATAGAGGTACACAGAACCTAATCAGATCAGATTCACCCCCAAAAAATACGTTAGCAAGACTAACAGTTGAGGAGGACGAAATTCAAGAGAAATAACATTAAAAACTCCTGCAGTTTCTCAGCACAGTATCAACGCAAAGAAAGTTATTCGGAAGCCTTGTGAGTCTCACTTCGCTTATAGTTTTCTCTTGTGGCCCTTGAAGCCAGCGTTGGGGTTCATACTTTTGCGGATGGTCAAATCCTTTGTAAGGAATCTACAGGGAAATAAATGCAAAAGAGGTGCATTTTAGCAATTCGGAACGTAAGGAAAACGGGGAGAGAGAAAAAACAATCAAACACGCTCCCTCCACACAACACACACGTCTACGCAATCACAGGTCTTTGCCCCAACTAAACTGGGGTCTAATTTGCGGTGTTTCTTGATGGGATTCCTTATTCATTTTGCTCCAATGCTAACTTCTTCCGAATCGGAGTCCGTCAACAGGAATTCCAACAAGATTCCTCATTTAGGAACAACTCAAACCAAGTGCCACAAATTTCTGTGGGAAAGTCCTAGGCAGAGACGCCGCAATTCCTGAATAACAATTAAACAAAAAGCCTCCAGAACATTTATTTATTTCCACTTTGGCATCTTTAAAATAGGAACATAGAAACAGCAATAGGCCATTCAGCCCCTCGAGCCTGTTCGGCCATTCTATTAGATCACGGCTGATCTGGACCACAACTCCAACTTCAAGTTAAATGTCAACCTCAGTCTCTTCCCCCTCTGCAGAAAATAGTATCCCTCTTCTCAGCAGCCTCCAGTGGAGAAATTATTGGTCTGTGTCTTGCACTTGTTTTCGTATCAAATGGATTTTGAAGGAGTTGATCTGACACACCACAAGCTGCCTTTGCTTGAAGTCTATTCGTTCCCATTCATTTCAACTCATTCTTTCCTATGATCTCAAAACTGCAGAGCTGCTTCACATCATGAAGCGCCATTACTCTCCCTACACATTCATCAACTGGTTACAGCAGTGATCATCAAGCAAAGTGTTTGAAAACCTACGACCGACATATAGAATTGCCAAACATGTTGACACTGCAACGGGTAGGCTGGTGTTAGCTTGACAAACTCCAGCAATCACCCCCAATGCACACCCTGGAGTTCCCAAGCCTTGGCTCTCGGCAACTTCTGGCTACTGCTCTCCAAAATTAGGTAGGCAGAGTGTGTCTCTTCAGGGAGAGCGTGTGCACTCCACTCTGGTCATGGGGAAATTTCCATTTGTAGGTGATAAACATATGTGGAATACTCAGTCTTGTTGGGATGCATTTATGGATGAATGGTGGTGAGTTCCATATGGGTTTCCAAAAAAAAATTCCACTTGACTCTGTTTACCTAGCAGTAAGTAGGAACCCAGTTGTTAGTCGATTGGTGGATCGCTTTCCGGGGGTAATAATCAAAACAAATAAATAATACTTTAGTCACTCAATTCACGACTGTTTGTGGGACACTGCTGTGCACAATTGCCTGCTGTGTTTCGCCCACAAAATATACAGTCAATTCACTTTACAGTATATTCTGTGAAGCACTTTGAGACGTCTCAACGATGTGATAAGGCACTAAATCAAATGCAGAGATTATTATTGTTATATTGTCTGACCATCAAAAGAAGAGCTGGCAAAAGCAACACGTACCAAATAGGAATTCATGTCTATATATAAATCTGAGGGGATGGTTTGTAAAGTGTCCAA